CCGGTGTAAATTTCAAGGAATTCGACTTAATTTTCCAAAACGAGACTAAATGTAACACTTATAAGGACCTCATGTGAATGAACTTTAAGTTAACTATTTTATTAATTTTAAAATTAATTATGTTTCAGCAATATTTTTTTAATCTAATCTTACCAAATTTAATTAACCTAAATGAATTCATCTTAACAAAACGTGAAAAACACAAGACATATGATAGTTTTAAAGTTTTGAAAAAAATTTAGGTAAATAAGCAATATTCCAAATAAATGAATCATATATTATGTTTAAGTTCAAATAATTCATTATTATTTTATTGCAAATAAATTTAGTACACATTTTACAAACAAAGCGTTTTATTTGATAAAGCAAAACACAGCAGTTTGAAATTCACATTCGAATCCCATTAGAGATCAACATTAGAATTCGATTAGAGAATTAATGTTTTCTCGAGTCGAGAACTATGTCCCATTTTTGTTGAGATCGCTATGATTCTCGATAGTCATTCTCTAACGTTTGAGATTGGAGAATGTGGCTAGTTCTCCAATCATTCTCTAATCGATAACTAACCTCAATGTTTGCTGGGATATTGTCCGCCATATATAATCCATTTCGAATTTTTAAAATCTAACTTCAGGTTCGTAATCACCGACCCTGTAGCAAGTTTTAAGCCATTCCGATAAGATTTCTAATATTGGCCACTTTTTATCATTTGGTGATCCATAGTGGTCTATCGTGATTGCTATAAACTTTAAAATAAATTATTTTAAAAATTTAAAAATTTTTAATTTTCAACACTGCAACGAAATCTCGGCGAAGTTGTACGTGTCTTTTTGTTAAAATTGTTTTTTTCTTTTGTCTGATACTTTGAGACCATTTTTTTAATGCACTTCGCTTTGTCCATACACTCAATGTTTAGAGTTTTTAGAGCAGCTGCGGGTGTTACCGCATCTTCTGAAGTTACCACTTGAGGGAGATGGCGGCATTGGCGGTCGGTAATTTTTTTTTGGGGCGGCCACCTTTGTTGGACGACACTTCCAAAAAATTTTTCTTTATCCTTTGTACAGTAATGTGGCTTATTTTTAAACTTTTTAATGATTTCACGCAAACATTTTTTCTCCTTTAATAATTTCAAAATTCCTTCCTTAAGTTCCGGAAACACGTTCAATACTTCACACCTGAATGATCACATAATCACCAAAAAAAAAACCTTGAAGTTTGCATATTAAACAAAAGTAGCGTTACTCAACGAAAAATTGACGCGCGAGCATAACTGTAACATTTCAGTTACGTTGGTTTTTCACTGTACGTGCTAGTTTATTGTTTTCGGATGCTACCACATTTACATTGAATGATAAAACACTATACCCACATACAATATTTCAATTGAAACTTTAAGATTAAATTACTACCTGATGGGATATGTACATATGTGTACATATGTACACGTTAATTTTAGCGTTCACCAAAAAAAGCAATCGTTTCTGTTGAAACGATTAAGTTTTTTTTATCGTTTAGGTAATTATCAAAATAATTCTATTTTGGCTTTTAACGAAAAGAAATTCAATCGTTAATATAGAAGCTGTAGCATGCATTTAGATGCTATATGTTAATAGTGAGCTTGCAATGGCATAAAACAACAACTTTTCCTTGATTTACTTTGTTTCGATGTTAACGATTGATGATTTATTTCGTTTCCACGTTAACGATTGAGTTTTGTTTCGTTGATTTAGCTCTGGAACGAAACGAAATTATTTTGATAAGTTATAAACGTAATCGATTCATATAGTTTGTTGAGCATCTCTGATATACACACATATGGGTGTTTCCAGCGGAAGGTCCACCACGACAAAAAAAATAAAAGTTTTATATCTAACGTATTTACGGGCCGATTTGTCTGCTTTTTAAAATATATACTGGCTATGTAAGTAGAATCATGTTTTCATAAAATGGTCTTCCTAGGTGGTGCCAAGGTCGAGATATTTCGAAAAACCGTATTTATGGTCCGATTTGGTTCGAATTTGGCGTATGTGGTTGAAACATAATAAATCATAGATTTCTAATAAATTGACCCTGAGTTGGCGCTGAAGTCAAAATATAAAGTATATTCTACATAAAATACATGTTTTCTTTGCGTTGAAATTTAAAAGCAATATTAACAAAAATATAACGATGGAAATTTATGTCACGTGACGCCACGTCACGTCACGTTTCACACTTGGGGTTGTAAAAGAGAATTGAAACAATTTGCATTAATTCAAAAAACTCCAAAAACAACTAGAATTGCTCCAAATCATATTAAAATAAGTTTCATGAAAATAGCCATCCACAATTCGCAGAGTTTTGCGATTTTGTAAGAAAAGAAAAAATCAACTTCCATTTTTTGTCACGTAACGACACTCTCTTTAAATGCTTATATTTCAGGACCAAGCAGTTCGATTGATTTCATTTTTCGGTTAAATATAGAGCTAATTATGTGCTATACAATGGCCCAAAAAAGTTAAAGAAAACAAATGGTATTCCTTTTTTGTATCACATTGAAATCGTACGACTGTCACGTGCGCCACCATGGGAATGCCCATATGCTGCTAGCACTTACCTGAGAAGCCATGTAAATAGCAGCGGCTGCAACTGATATAGGTGATCTTCCTGGAACAATGTCCATTTCGACAGCCTTCTTTGCAATATACGTCGCGGCCCGCTGTACCATATTTGGTAGATCTAAAGTAAAAAATAGGGTATGTAATATTAAAGGGTTCATAAATATGTACGTGCATGCATTTAAGGAATGTTAATATTACCCAGATTGGCGCAAAATCGGGACATAAAATCTGCTGTGGTAATTAAATCCACACTAGTTTCAAGAGCCTTTAGAGTCAACTTAAAGCAACGTCCAATTTCTTTTTTACTTATTTTGCTGACAGCACAAATTTCCTTAAAAGTACGTGGCACACCCTCCTGTCGACACGCAATGTACAAACACGCCGATGCCTTTGCATCGTTCGACCGGCCCTTAAGATTTTTACCATCATGCACCTATGTTTAAAGTAAAATGTATGTAAAAAGGTAATATTTTTAACATTTGGTTATATTTGTTGCTAATCCTATCACTGTATCGTAAACTACAAAATAAAGTTACCCTCGATATGAAACTAGAATGTAATAAAAATGAAGCAAATAAACAAAATAAAGCCTCTGATGAGACCCCCCCCTTTAATGACGACCCCCTCAAACATTTAAAGGACTAAGATATGAGGGGCAAGTGAGGTGTCAAATGACAGAGATTGGCCTGGAGATATACAATAAAGTTTTATTTTATTGAAGCGGGTTGCCACCTGTTACAAGTTTTATTAAAATTATTTAATAAGTTACATGAACTAGATATTACAATATGGGTATCAATTGAAAATGCTTTACTTTTAAAGGACACGTAGAAGGGTTGCCACATGTTTAAAAAGTCAATTTCACTTTAATTAAGGGAAATAGGTAACTGAAATATGTATATCAATATGGGTATCAGACAAAATAAAAAAACTGGACATATTAAGCAAGAAATAAGTGAAGAGTAAAAACATTACTGAGCTAATTTAAGAGAACAGTAATTTGAAAAGAATGTAATCAGAACAAATCCCTGATTGACAATGTATGAATGTATGTATGTATTTGTAATAAAATAACAAATACGGTGTCGTAAACCTTTGGTTTGGCACAATTATTATTTTAGTTTATCATTATTATTATAAAAAAAAAACAAATTGACTTTACAAGCAGGTGGCAACCCTCTTCGTAATATTTGCAAGCTAAAACTTTCTTAACCCTTCGGAGGGCAAATTAGCCGCAAAAATTGTAATTTGTGGTTTTCAAATACCTGTAGGAGCTGGCCACTTAGTGACTTTGTAAGTTTTGAGATTCAGCATGGTTCACAGTTAGCTGTTACTTCCTGCGTTATATAGTTCAGTTGATGTTTGTATTTGAAAGTTGGTATCTCATATATGCGGCTGAATTGCCGCATCGCGCCCTTCCGTGTACCAAAAAAATTTGAAAAAATGTTCGCAAAATTTCGTTTAAGATAGTTGGAGAAGTGATTTTGTGATAAAAGTCTAAATCAAAATTGTTATTTTTTAAGTATTTTGTCATATGTAATTTTAAAATTATACTTTGCGTATACATTGCGTACACATTGTAACTATTATGAAATTCATTTTCTTAGGTTTTAGAGAAAAAGGATGTTTTTAAATGATGTATTTTAGAACGAATTTCCGTCATCCCTTGTCAAATTTGGTTTGGCGACAAACCGGTTTCGGCGTTGTGCCATCTTCTGTGTCATTTTCGTTCTCTCGGAAACAACAATAACCAAAAACAATATGTTTTTAAACTTATATAGAAGCGAACCAACTACGCAACAGAAATTGAAACCAGGAATATGTACCAGGAATAATAAGACAAAAATTAGTTGAATTAACTGTAACAAAAATGTTTGCAGAAAACATTTCAAGCATATTTTACAATATGTAGAATGTACCAACACCACTGTTGATGATGACGCATAACAATTTAAAAATGAAAAGCTTTCAGTATAAATACAAATTATTCAAATGTTTTATTTGAATGATTTTTCGACATAAATAATGCAGTCAACCTTTATAACGAAGCGTTTTTGTTGCCCCCACGCTTCTTCCACAATGCTGGGGTATACTCGCCGTGTTCAGGGTTCGTTACAATAAATTTGTAGGTTTCGGGGCTCTGGTAAATCGTACTTTATAAAATTATTCTCTTACTTACTATCAAACATATAACAACAAAACAATAAGAAATATTCGGTGCCGTTACTTGCAGTGGCTGGGTAACGATTCTTTGTTCCGTTACTAGCCCGTTAGACTGTAGTGGCGTGGCTTTAGTACTGGAGGGCAGCGCTGCTGACGCCAATGAATGGCACGCTGCTAACGTCGGTAAGTGGTGCTCTGGTGAGTTGCGCTCTGGTCGTGCCGGTGAGTGGCGCTCTAACAACGTCGGTGAGTAGCGCTCTGATGCCGTTGACAAGTGGTACTCTGGTCGCGCCCTGGCGTCGATGGCCAGTGGCGCTCTTGGTCGCGCTGATGAAAGGCGCTCAGCTAACGTAGTTGAGTAACACTCGGGTCGCGCCGATGAGTGGCGCTCTGATGACGTCGCTTTCTTTTCACGCCGGCGCTCTGGTGGCGGTGGTGAATAATGCTGGTGAGCAGCGCTCTAGTCGAGTCGGTGTATGGCTCTCTGGTGACGACGATGAGTAGCGCTCTTGTATGTAATGGAATCTGATTTTGTAACAGGTGGCAACCCTCTACATGTAGTTAAGAATATAACCCTTTTCATACACATTTCGACTGATACCCATCTTTTAATAATTCATTTAACTTATTAAAAAAATTTAATTTAATTTTTTAACAGGTGGGAACTCTAAAAAAAACAAAACCTGTATTGTCTACAAGTCAATCTTTTTAATCTGACACTTCATTTTTGAAAATAGAACGAATCGTGCAGATCTGATGACACTGACAAAAAATGAATAAATGATTTTATGCATTAGCAAAAAATGCATTACTCTCCGAAAAGTGCAAAAATTAGCAGGTTTTTATTTCTTTATTTATTTCATGTTATGTTTTTTCGGAAATACCACAGGGGCACCATGAGCTTAATTTTATTCCAATTTTTCATCTTTTAGCTCACTACTATCTATGTGGAAATAAAAAACGTCAAACCATTTTATTTCAAAGAATGTGTTTTTGACATTTTTTCCGTGAAGAGCTTACGCATGGCTATGCTCTTATTAATATTCTTAGTATAAAATTTGTCGACTTTAGTGGCTTCCTGGCGGCATATAATTTATTTTATAGGGAAATTTCTACTGAATTATTTTTAGTGGATAAATTACATTTACAAAAATACCACACACGTGCACATTGCAGACAACGAATTTTTCGATTTTTATCCACTTAGGCGGCACTGTGCGCTAAGCCGAAGATGTAATCGGAGTGACTTAAGTGTTTGTACAGAAAATTTAACACACCACATGAAAAAATATGACCATTTTGAAATGTTATGATTAGGAAAAAAATCTTTTTGCAGGTCATTGAAGGTAATTAATTGACGCATATTTCTGCAGAATTGTCCTTTTTTATAGTAGAGTAAACAACACACATTTGATCGTTAAAAGAGAAAATTAGAATTACAATTTAATGTTGTTGTTTTTGGATTAGGAACTGTACATATACATTTATTATATATGATTCTGCTATCTACTGTAGTTTAGGAGACACCAATTTAAAAATTTTTCAAATGTAATTTTTTAGTGATAAAAAGGGTAATTATTGTAAAAGCAATTATTTATAACAATTTGACGTATTTGTTTTTTCAATGAGAAAGTGTAAATATTTGTCTACACGGTTCAAACCTCATCCCGCTATATGGCATGTCTGCGTTCACATGGATTCAACGATAACACGTATGTACGTTTTATGAAACGTACGTTCTATCTCAAGTCCTAAATTTGCACATTAAACGCTTTTGTTCTAAAAATTTATTTGTTTTATGGATTTTGAATGCTTATTGTTCATTTTTTGAAACGTACAAAATTAAAATATTATATTAGCGAGTATTGTGGCTTATTTGGTTTATTTGTATAGCGTCAGCTATTGGTGCTAATAATATTATAATATTTTATTATTTTTAAAATTTTCTGGAATCATGGAAAATATAAATTTTTGTACAAGAATTCAATTTACAGTTGGTGTACCACAATAACCAATGTCAATGACACTTCTTTTAGAAGCCTATGATAAACGTTCAAAAATTTGATTCAACTTGTTCCTCATTTTTTTCTACAAAACAATAAAAACAAATAAAAACATATAACAAATGACTAAGTGACCATCAAGTCAAGGTGCAGGAATGGTATTTTCAAAGATAGTAGGTGCGAGTTCGAGCTTTAATTTAAGCCAGAACGGAAGAGCTTCTAAAATATTGCAAAAAAGGCGATTTTTTGACACTTTGACCTCGTTTTTTTAAAAACCTGGAGCTGATGGAAACTTTATGCTTACGGATTCGTAATCAACACAAAAAAGTCTATCAAAAACAGCTTTATCCAATGGGCGAAAATTCAGATTTCCGTTTTTTCTACAGAAATTTTTGCTTTTTTCCCGCTGTTTAGTTATACACCCCTATGCTGTAATCCGTCGTAGATTCGATTTTGCTACGAATCGTAAAATTGGTATGCTGAAATCCGCGTTGTCGTATCGTAATTTCGAAATTCGTAGGCCATCTTCGAAATTCATAATGTTGGTATGCCCGAATCCGACGTAGCTGTGATTTTTATGTATTTGTCGGAAATTTTGTACGAATAGCAACTCTTGTCGGAGCGAAACAAGTGTTTTAAAATATGTGTAAACGCAAAAATATGTATGTAAGTTGAAGTGTGAATAGAAAAAAAAATATTTTCATAAATGTTTACATAATTAACAGATCGAAGATCACAACAAATCGCTCGCAATACGAAAAACTGGTGGAATGCATCAGCAAAAGACCGGACATTGGTCGAGGCTTTGTAAAATGAGCTAAAGAGGATGTGGTGGAATTTTGGGATAGCGTTCCAAGAATTAAACCGGCACAATACCTCTTGAAATGGAGACCCTTAAAAGGAGGGAGCTTACATTTTATCATTTAAGCTAAATGTCAGAACAATCTCTTAGCATTCTTCTTTGTATATTAATGCAACTGTAAGCTGTTCTTCCTCCTGGGACAAAAGTGCACCGGCCACTGAATCCTTTGTATTCTACTTAATTAAGAAAAAGTCTTTTCAAATAATGATTAAACAATTTTTTTTTAATTTCACTATTCACTTGCGATTATGTATATTTATTTTGATTTGTTTCTGTTAACACAGCTGAATAAGAACTTCGAATTTCACTATTTTAGTTGGCAACGCCGTTGATAGTTACGATCGGATTACAGCATAGCAATTTTCGAATTTTCGGAACGGAGCTACGAATTCGTAACTACGAACT